CAGGGCCCTGCCTGGCCAGAGCCCAGAGTGCAGCGGGCTGGGCAAGGGCCCCTCCTCCCCCCACCAGCAGCCCGGCACGGGGGTGGCTGGCCAACCACTGGCTGTTTGGCGGCCCCAGGGTGGCCCACGGCCAACCCCAGGCGGACACATGGCCACCAATCGCCCGTCCAACTCTGGAAGCTGTGATGGTTCAAACCCACCAAGTTTCTCTTGCGCCCAAGTTCCTCCACGTACCCGGAGCACAGGACACCTGTGTGTCCACGCACACGTGCTCCACGCACGGGCCACGGCGCAGAGAGCACGCCATCCACATCCGGCCGCCACGTGGACACCCGTGTTCATGCTCAGTGAACTCAGAATGAGTGCGGGCTCTGGAGGACGCAGGCCCGCGTTCGAACCCCGTGCCAGCCCTCAGCAGCGGGTTGATCCTGGGGAACTCACTCGCCTGAGCTTGGTGCCCCCCCCTGAGGACAGCCCTCGCGTCCAGGCGTTTCTGAGGGGCTGTGTGTGAGCTAGGCGTGTGCCAAGTGCTGTCCGGGTGTCACCGTGAGGCCGGGACATGTGCTGGCCCATTGCACAGATGGGGAAGGGGGCGTAGCGAGGTGAAGCTCGCTCCTGACCAGGGAGGAGAGGCCCCCATCGCTGAGACTGACCCGAATCTTCGAGAGCCCCGGCCCTGACGAGAAATACAACTCAGATGCCGAGACAGGGTCGACCACAGGCTAAATAAAGGACCCCCCGTCGGAAAGGACGAAAGGGTTTTAAAAAATCCGGGAAATTGGCTCCCCAACGGGGCTGGCAAATGCCATCAACTGTTCCTTCCATTCCCCAGCGTCTCCACCAACAGGTACGTCCCTAAGACAAGCCTCAAAAAAAGCCGCAGCCCAACTCCGACTTACTCTGCAGGACGCAGCCCAGCCCGCCTGCTGGAGGCACCGGCCACCCCAGGAAGGGGCCTCGGGGCTGGGGGCTGGGGGCTGGGGGCTGGGAACAGGAAAGGAATCCAGAACTTAGAGATGCAGCAGCAAACACTTAAAAAACGAGGAGGAGGGGGGAGAGGAGCCCTCGGAGCTGATTACAACACCGTAATGTGAGCAAATTCACAAAATAAACAGTCACCAGCGTTTGCCAATGATTGCGGCTGTAAAGGTGCTCTGCCCTCCTGGGTGGCGATAGGGACCGATATAGGGTGCCCTTTATCTTGGCAAGATACATTTTTTTAAAGTTTATGGCTACTCTTTGTAGTTACCTGTTGATTATTATTATTTTTTTTTTAGTTTGGATTTTAAAGTACCTTTAGACCATGCCAAATATTTAACCAGCTGTTTTTTCATAAAAGTCTCAAAATGACTTTATGGAAGGCTGTACATACAACACCCAGACAGTCAATGTCCGCCCTGCGACACTGTGAAGATAGCACAATCTAACCCTGCCCACACCCCACAACGCTGAGTTTCAACCCAAGGCTAGCTCGGCCCACGCTGCAGAACAAGATAAAAACTGGTAACTCATTAAGACACGGCCGGTCCTTTGACCAAGGTCATGTGCCGTCTCAAAAGGCAGAGATAAAGACCAAAATTTAAATTAAAATCTAATGAAGGGGATCGTGTTCCCCGACAGAATTTTTCGGGAGCGGGCAGGTCACTGGGTCAGGCTGCTCCTCGAGGCGGAGGCAACTTGTTTGTTTTGACCTCCGATCTCCCAAACCGTCGGCTCCACCATGGGAATACGCCGCGTGGCCAAAGCCCGGAGCCCGACAGACCAGCCCATCTGTGCTGTGAGAACGGGCCACTTCAGTCTACAGCGGAGTTTATATAGAAGCGGCGATGTGAAAACTGCTATGCGTGCTGCTGCTTTAAAAAAAAAAACAACACACACACAAAAAAACACAATCCTGCTGAGAAGTAGCGGGTGCCGTGGAGAATGCTGAGATTCTGCCTGATTTACAAAAATAAAAAAATAAAAAGTCTATGGAATTTTTCACTGATTTGGGGAAGAGGTCTATTTTACTGATTTCACCCAAGTTAAGAACTACGATGGTCACTGACCATCCGGCTCTGCAAGTTATACGCCGGGTAAGGTGGTAGCCACATACATTAAAACCACGAGGCGAACCTCATCTCGGTGCAGAATACTAATTCAGAACGAAAACGCTCATTTATGGAAATTAATTGATCTTATGCTACTTGCCCCACCTCGTCCAAAAAGAAGATGATTTGATACTCAGGAAATGTGACTACCTATCATTCCGGGATTTAGGGTTAAAAATCTCTTTCACCTGCGTTAATTACAGCGAAAAAAAGTCAAATTAAAAGAGATGAGCAGTGGGCAGCTATTAAAAGTATTAAGTGCTTTTAAAAATGATTAACACCCCCCCCCTCCAACCTCCAAATGCCTCTCTCTACTCTTGCTCGCTTGGCTTTAAAGGGTACGACACCCTGTTTCTTTCCCTGACTTTTATTTTGTCACCGGTGTTTCATGGGGTGCTTGCTAAATATTTGGGTGGCACGCGCCTGCCGCCTGCAGCAGCGGGACGTGCCTGTCATACCGCGGAAATGTTTCCATTCCCGCCGCTGCGTGCGCCCGTCTCCGCAGCCCACGTCCTCCAGGATCGACTGCTGTCTGGTCTCAGAACAAAGCAGCCGCCGATTTTTCCTCGTGTGGGCTGAGCTGCCCAGGCCCCCACGGCTCTGAATTAGAAAAACAAAGATGCACGCACACGAGAATCTGCCTGTGAGCTGCAAGCTAGAACTTTCTGGACCAAGCGGGCCATTTTGCATAAATCAAGACCCGGGCTGCCCTGAAACTCCCGGGGAAGCCGGCTGCGTCTGCAGGCCACGCTCCCTCAGCCCGCCCGAGGGCGGAGGTGAGCTCGCAGCTGCACTTTGCAAAACCCACCTTTTAAGGAAAAAGGTTCAGCCACTCCGAAGGGTCAGGGACCAACAAAGAAACTCAGGCAGCCCCGGCCCCAGCTCTCCACGAGCCCTGGCGGGCCCCGGGGACACGGAGGGAGGTCGGCACCAGCAGAGGATTAGGACCACGCAGGGCCCCCCCCAGGGTCTGTCCGGCGGCGGACAAGCCCATGTGCCCCCCGCATGCAGGCGGTGGGCAGGGCGGCTGGGAGCCGGCCCAGCACTGTGAGTGCTTAAACGAGGGCTTAAAAAATTAAAAGCCCCCAAACCTAACAGATTCTCCCACACTGAGCTGAGAGTCCAAAACAGCTTTCTTTTCTTTCTTTTTTTCAAAAAAAATAAAATAAAACGAAAGGGAAAGAGAACTGGATCCCCACGCTGTGGACACGGCGGCATTAAAGATGCCGGACCACATAAAGGGCCTCTGTTCCCTGAGGCTGGGCC